GTAGCCCAGGCTGGCCTCGAACTCACAGAGATCCGCCTGGCTCTGCCTCCCGAGTGCTGGGATTAAAGGCGTGCGCCACCACCGCCCGGCGAGTTAAGAATTTTTAAAAGTTAATTGTTCATGATTATCATGGTATGAGTTGAGATTTATGGTTATTTAAGATGAATACATTTTAACCATATAAGAATCAAAGACAGAATGTTAATTTCAACAGGAATATTAATGTCAAAGTTATCTTCTATAAAGGCTGGCATTAAGAATATCACAGTGAGATAATAATAAACTAGGGTTCAGCATCATCTGGTGTTCAGAAGTCTAGAGAGACAGCTCAGCAGTTAAAAGCAGATCCTGCTCTTCAGATCAGAGTTCAGTTCCCAGCACCCATGACAGACTGTGGGAGCCTGTTTTCAGGTTTCTCGTGGCTTTACCCAGCAGGTCCTCATAGAGAGGATGATTAGGACCATGGGCCTGAGTGCAGATGTCTGACATGGTCTGCACTTGGCTATGCTGGGGGGGAGGTCTTTTGCTCCACCCCTTAGCATTTCTATAAATACCCTGGGGCAGAGATAGTCAGGGCCTATTGGAATAGGTTCCAGGCCCTCTAGAGGCTATTCTTTATTTTCTGTTTATCTCCACAATCTAATTCCTTCTATCTAATATTTCCTGCTGCTTGCACTCAAGAAAACTCTGGGAACTGTGGGGTTTGTGGGTAAACGCCCTGCAGAATGGCGCCATGAACAGGGACTGAAGAAAAAAAAAAAAGAAAAAAAAAAGAGGGGGACTAAAGATAAATGAACAGGGACTAAAGACAAAGGAAAATAATAGTTTTATTACAGAGTATATGGTGATGTATTTGTAATCTAAGAAATAAAGCTTGCCTGAAGATCAGAGGACAGAGCCAGCCACAGAGTTAGCCAGAGGACTGGGCAGTGGTGGCGCACACCTTTGATTCTGGCACTTGGGATCACACACCTTTAATCCCAGCACTAGGCTGAGACAGGAAGTGATATGGCTGTGCAGAGAAAAAGAATATAAGGTGGGAGGAGACAGGAATTAGGCCTTTTTGGTTGAGGACTCAGAGGCATTCAGTCTGAGGACTCATGGAGACAGGAACTTCTCTTTTCAGCTGAGGAGTTGGAGAGGTGAGAAGTGGCTGTGGCTTGTTTCCACTGATCTTTCAGCATTTACCCCAATATCTGGCTCTGAGTTTTTATTATAAGATCATTTAGGACTCGTGCAACAGAGGGCTGTGAATCAAAGCCAGTCTGATGTACATGCTAAGTGTCTCAAAGCAAAAGTAGACAGCCTAAGTTTGGTTCCTAACACCAAGATTGTGTGGCAGACAACTGCTTGTGATTATAGATTCAAAGAATCTGATGACTTCTCCTGGCCCCAGGTAGTACCTGTGTGAATGTGCTTGATGCACGCACACACAAATCTTACAACAGAAACCAGAAGAACAGCAACAAAACAAAACAAACAATAACAGTAAGCCAAGAAACATTGGAAACAGCCAAGAAATGCAGAAAGCAAAAATATAAACATATATTAAGACTAAAAGTAAAACACATTAAAAAAATCTATAATGTAGTTAGCTGGCCAATGGTGCACATGCCTTTAATGCTAGCACTTTCGAAGCAGAGGCAGGCAAATCTATAACTTCAGTTCATTTTGTATAAATATTTTTATAGTGGGGAAATACAATTATTTTTCTTATTCAACTTTCAATTCCATTTTAAAAAAGGAACTGAGTAAGAATAAGTAAAACAAAAAAGGGACCAGAGTAAGAACAAGTAAAAACAAATTCTTAGTTACACAAGGTAACTGCTTGGTCTGCACTTCTAAGGGATATATTAAAATGTCTTCCATTAGTCCTATATATTCTTAAATTTAAGATTATGGTTATGACTTCTTTGCAACAGTTAGCTCTTCTCAATGGGTAGCACAGAACTACAGCATCATTACTTACATCATCACTCTGTTGGGCTTCTTGCATCACAAATTCTCGGACCATAGATGGACTAAACTCTACCAGATAAGAAAATATATCTGTAGCAGCTGATCTGACCTGCAAGTCATCCATGCCCTGACAAAAGGAAAGCTACATTAGAGAACATAACTAAGGTTATTCTTGCACTCCCCTCCTCTCTTTCAAACCCACAAATAACTCCTTAGATTTTTAGATTAACATTCAACTTCAATCTGCAATACCTCTTCTTTTTCTTCCCCAGATAGATGTATCCCCTCCCAATTTTTGAATTAAGACACCAAACTGAATTAAAATATCCCTTTTTTTTTTTCTATGACTGGTATATTTGGAAGTAGCTCAGTACTTATTTCTAATGGCTTTTACCATCTTAAAAGAAATATTCAGCACTTGGGAGACAGAGGCAGATGGATCTCTGTGAGTTCGAGGACATCCAGAGGTACACAGAGAAACCCTGTCTCGGAAAACAAAACAAAACAAAACAACAACAACAAAAATTCAGAGTTTATACATAAGAGTCAGCATAGAGCTGAGTGTAGTGGTGCACACTTGTAATCCGCTGACACAGGCACACATGTGGCATACATTCACATAAACATACACACACACACACACACACACACACACACACACACACAAAGAAAACAAACAATAAATTGTCATAAAAGACACTTATTTTAAAATGAATACCTAAAATTATTCTCATTTAAATTTTTTATCTGAACGTCTATGAATCAAATAGATGTAACTGAAATCTGAGAATTATAACCCTACTCCCATACTGAAGCTTAGGCTCCTTGGTTCAGTACTTCCTAATTCTACTAACTGCATTGAAAAGTGAAGACAACTTACCCAATTCTATGAAACATAGCGTCACTTAAGGAAAGACAAGTCTTTGAAAAACAAACACAAACACGGATGGTACAAATCTTAAAATCTGGTAACTGAAATCATCCTTGTGGTGTCTCAATAAGAGATGAATGAATCAGCACTATGCAAATATTTTACCATCCAAAATTATGAATCTATGACAAATTCACAACTCCAAAAGCACAAGAAACCATAATTACCATTACAATTTCAAGAGCTGGAAGAATTCCCAATTTTGCCAAGGTTTTAAAAAAAGCATCCCTGTTTTGAGGTTGTAATGTCTGAGAAAATGCACAAAATTCCTTGAAGAAATTAACCTGTGAGGTCAAAAATTAAAGTGATAAGTCAATAAACATGAAGACAAAACCACGCAGAAGTTTAGCTACCAGAGTATAGAATTCATCCTTCTAAAGGACCATCTTTTCCCATATCCTGGTTCCTCAAAATCTACATTTAAAAACTATATTAAAAACTAGTGCTGAGCATACTGGCTTTACTATCTTCCCAGCACTCAGGAGGCAGGAGGATCAAGAATCTGAGGCCAACCTAGGCAACAGTTAATAAATAAACTTTGTCTCTTTAAAAATAAAGCCGGGGTAGATCAGATGATTCAGTGGTGGAGTTACTTGCTGTCAAGCCTGACTCCAGGAACCCACATGACAGAGAGCCACCTCCCAAGGCTGTCCTCTGACCTCCACTCATACATAATGTGCACTACTCCCCCAATGTAAAATATAAATAAAGACATAGATATATGCATGTGCACACACATAAAAACCAACAACAAAACTCCAGCATCATATTAAATATAAACTTAGCTTTATTTCTCAAACACTGATCTTCTCTAAACCTAATGTAAAAAATGCCACATAGGGCACTTGCATAAAAACCATCCTGCAAAAAACTGCGTTTGGATTACCAAGGGAAATGCAAAAAACACAACAAAATTTTAACCGCTGGTAAACAGTAATTGCTACTTTCCCCTCTAAAATACAGTTACCTCTCAAAACAAAGGCAAAACAAACTCCAAGTCATTAAAAAGCAAACATTTTGTCCCGCAGTGGTGGCACATGTCTTTAATCCCAGCACTCTGGAGACAGAGGCAGGTGGATCTCTGTGAATTCGGGTCAGCCTGGGCTACCGAATGAGTTCCGGGACAGCCAAAGCTACACAGAGAAACCCTGTCTTAAAAAACAGAGGGGGGGGGGGAAAGTGAACATTTCTAAGGAACCAAATGATTTATCATTTATTTATTTTAGAAGTGTTTTCCTTCCATCTGTTTGTTGTTGTTTCTGAATCTCCATTATGTAAATAACTACCACTATAACAAATGTCTAGTTCTGTCATGCTATAAGGCATTTAAATTTCCTGGGGGAGGGGCATTTGTGAGTGTGTGAATGACACACATAATATCTTAAAATGTTTTCTGAAACATTTAAAAACAAGTTTTAGAAACTGAACAAATAACTTACCAATTCACGTCGTTTATCATCGTCTGTAGCCTCATCTGTTAACTGTGCAAAAACTTCAGACAAAAACTTCTCATCTTCCTGCATGAGAAGAAATAACTGCTATGAAATATCAGCAAAAGCATACTTACATTATGCATATGCCTTACACAAAGTACAGTAAAATCAGATCAAAATTGAAAAGCATTTTCATCATGAAACCTGAAATCTGAGGATATATTTACAGTCTTATGAAACTTAGAACTGCCACTTAAGTTTATCCATTAATATGTACTTAACTAGAAATCTCACTACACAGTACTAGGCATAACAAACAAAAGCTCTAGAGGTAGAGCAATAAATTTATTCACTTTCATTCTGACAACTTTTCTAACTCAGTTTTCATTTACTCAAATAAACCTGAGGATCTCACTGTCAGTTCGTATGTACCAGACAAAGAAAACAAGACAGGGTGCAAGTGCAGCAGTGAAGGGAGCTGGATTATGGCGGCAGGCAGGAAGGAAGTCTTCAACATGTGAGAGCATACAGAGCACTTTAATCTACAGCCAAGGACAAAATAAAGTGACAAGTCACTATGGTAATTACACCTGATGACTCAGAGCTATTAAAAGACAGGTATTAATTCCCCTAGCACTCATTAAAAGAATATATAGAGGCAAGGATCAACCCCAAGGCCTTGTGCATGCTAGACAAATAATGTACCACTAAGCTATGACCCCAGGAAAAGTAGGTATATATTTTCATAATCCTTTTTTATTTTCATTCTAAATTTAAATTTGATGATTTTTCTTTTTTTAAAAATACTTTATTATATTCCAATTTTTCTGTTTTTTTTTTTAAATTTATTTATTTATTATGCATATAGTATTCTGCCTGCATGTGTCCCTGCAGGCCAGAAGAGGGCACCAGATCTCATTACAAGTAGTTGTGAGCCACCATGTGATTGCTGGGAATTGAACTCAGGACCTTTGGAAGAGCAAGCAGTGATCTTAACCTCTGAGCCATCTCTCCAGTCCGACTTTTTAATATAAATTTGTATGTCTAAAATGTAGAAGGGATGTTTAAATTATAATTGTGTTTGCTGGAGTGAGGCAAGTAATTTTCTCCAGTTTACCTATATTTTCTACAGTAAGAAAATTACAAAGTAAAATTATATAATATCAAAATTCACTTTAGAGATTTGCTAAAAGACAACTAGTGAAATCATGGTGCTGTTAAGATTTCATTATATTCTCAAAACCCTTCTCTATGAAGCATAATTTCTATTAAATTAAATTAACATATTCTAAAAGAACTTGTAATGGTAGTATCTCTGACTCATATCACTAGATATAAAATATGTATTTCCTATATCTGTCTTTTAAAATATGGATCATCCATTAACTAAGGATCTCTACACTGTCTCCAAAATAAGGTGGAGCACTAATCTGAAGATACAGTCCTCACTAGTTAGAAAGTACTAAGCATCAATGGGGGGTGCTCAGAGACAGAGTAAAGAGATAAAATAGGGTTTTAAATGAGTGACTCAGAATGGTGCTTCTTTGTGTATTTCACTGACTCGTTTTAGACATTATTTTTCATGGCTTGATACATTTATAGGAAACGAGCATATTTCAAAACCCACCTCTATGAAATATAATTTCAAGTGACTTATTCTAAAACTGTAATATCTGTATAAATATATATTTCCCCTATTCACATCTTTCATAAACTTTTTTCCCCCAGATCTCCCAGATTGAATTTTTATTCTTTTTCACTAAAGATTTTTAAATGTTTTCAAAATATTTTCAAAGGAGAAAGTTCTAAGGTCTTGATAAATGCATTTTCTCTTTAAATTCTTTGCACATGATTCAGCACTTAAGAAGTGACAGCCGAAACCATTCATAAAGGCGATATCAAGTATGTTCATTAGGAGAATGCTTCCTTATTCCTAGCTTATTCACCTCCCTCCCCCAGCTAATTCAGAGCATTCATTTTTGTGATTTCTTTAAGCTATGAAGCATGATGTTTCAGGGTATATGTTAGGAAGCAAATGATTTAACAATAGAAAGCCTGTAGCTAGAATATTTTCTCCTAAATCCTTGCTTGTCTACATCATGAAAGTAATCATCACTTTAGATCATTTTTCTTTTCTGTAAACTTTACAAGCTTTTGTTTTAATGAGACAACTGTCACAGTATATGTAGCTACTTTTCTAGGTAACAAAACCCCTGGAGAAGAGGCTCTAAATCAGGGCTGGGATGTAGCCCAGGGGCAGTGTTTTTCTAGCCATGAGATCGATCCTCAGTGCCACAAACAAGAACAAAACAGACAAACAACAGGTAATTTAAAGTTCATAACAATTTCATGAAATGTATCTCTCATGAATCATAAATAAAAGGCTAAGTATGGTAGCACAAGCCTTTAATCCCAGCACTCAGAAGGCAGAGGCAAGAGGATCATTATGAGTTCAAGGCCAGTATACCCTACATAGTGAGTTTCAGACCAGCCAAAGCTACTAGTGAGACCCAGACTTAAAAAAATAACAATGAACAAACAAAATAAAATTCCTTTAAAGCTTTTTTTTTTTTTTTAAATTTTTTCCGGAGCTGAGGACCGAACCCAGGGCCTTGCACTTACCTACTGAGCTAAATCCCCAACCCCTTAAAGCTTTGCTTTATATCATAGATTCCATAAATAAAATTATAAAATATATGTAAAATGACACACAAAATTTTACAAATATTTATAGATTAGTTTACATAACTTATTTAAACTATTTTTGACAGTACTGGGGACTGATAAGTAAGCATACTCTACCTCTGAACTACATCTCCAGACCTTATTTTTCAACTATAAAAAAAATGTTATGATTTACTACTGTGGATTTGGAAACCCTTAGGTCAAACACTTGAAAGCTATATTTGAGAATCTGACGTCCTTTATATCAGCTCCAGAGTATGACCACATTTCCAATTTCCTGATACTGATTTTCTGTCTGGGGGTAAAAAGCATCCTAAAATGTATATAGTGAAATCACAGTGCTCAGGAAATATGAGGAGGAAAATCCGAAGTTCAAGGTCAGCCAAATAAAAATATAAAGAAACCAACAAAACACAAGATCCCATCTACTATAATATTTACTATATATATGTGTGTGTATGTGTGTATGTGTGTATGTATGTATGTATGTATGTATGTATGAATGAATGTGTGTGTGTATATATATATCACTATAATGGGAACCTAATATTTATATTTAACTTTCCTTTTGCCCTTTACTGAAGAATAATGAAAAATTGGTAGGTAGGGCCAGGAGCAGTGGTGCATGTGTGTAGTCCCATTAGGAGTTATTCTCAGCTACACTGTCTATTCAAGGCCAGCCTGGGTTTCATGAGACCCAGCGCAGGGAGATGGCTTAGTGGGTCAAGGTACTTGCTGCTAGGTGTAAAGATCTAAGTTCAATCCTTGGAACCCACATGGGTAGAAGGGCAGAACCAACTCCTACAAGCCGTCCTAACATGCCCATCCACACAGTACAGCACATATGCACATACAATACACAAACACAATAAATTTAATAAAAAAAGCACTTTATACTAAAAATCTTTTTAAAAAAAGACAGACATGCTATGTTTAATAGAATAATTAGCATAAACTAAGTAAGTCTTTATTACCAGCTCAAGTTATTAAGAACATAATGCCTGAAAATAGAATTGTGAAAAATAATTTACTTACCTGCAACATGCTGACTATTTCAACTTTGTTGAAGAAAATAAAAGATGTAAGAGTAGAAAGGAAATTCTCTTCAAAAACAGACGGTGTAGGCAAAATGATGTCCTGAATGTACTGTACCCTGTAAGTCTGATGTATTTTTTGCCTTAGTTCTGAGTCTGTTGTTGGTATAACTTCCTTAAACTTTGCAGTTTTGGTCAAGAATTCTCTATGCCTTTTTGGTTGGGCCAAAGCAGGGTCATATTCAAGGCATCCCACGACATCCATGATACACTCATCAGAAAACATTACCTCAAAAAGAGTTGCCTTATTTAGGAATAAGATTCCTCTAATAATCTCATACAGATGGTGTAAGCCTTCAGTGTTTTCTAGGTCCTCACAAGCTTGGAACAGCTGCAGTAGTTTTTTGATATAGCCTTCATTTTTCAAGGCCAGAGCCAGCTTTTCCCTACGGATAGGTGAGGAAAGAACTGAGGTAACTAAGTCAGCAATCTCTTCAAGTTTACTGAGTTCACATGTGGGCAGGTCAATAAGATGACTAGTCTCTGGCATTTCTTAAAATCGTTCTTCTTCTGATTCATCAATGAGGTCCTGTGTGACTTCTACTGATGGGTCCTTACCTTGAACCTAAAAACACCCAAGTACATCTGGTTATCTTAAAATACAAAATAGTTCAACACTCTGGAAATCAAATCACTGACCATCGAATTTAAGTAAAAGTACCATGAACACCGAGCACGGTGGCTCACCTATAATCTCAGTGCTTGAGAGGTTGAGGCAGTAGAATCAGGAATTCAAGGCCAGTCTAGTTAAGAAATGACATTCTCAGGACTAGGGCAGTGAAGTCAGTTGGCAAAGCACTTGCCATACAAGCCTGAGGACCTCAACTGGAGCCCCAGAAACCAACAAATGCAGGACATGCTGGTAGGCACACTTGTTCATAATCCCGCTGTGGGGGAGAAGACAAGTGAAGAGGAGAAGTAACAACAGAGGGCAAAGGAATAACTAGATGACTAACGTAGTAAGGGAAATCCAATGATATGTCCCTCAAAGGCTAAGAACATCTGGCTCAATTATACCAGATGTCTGAAAGTATACTGACTCTTTACTTTTTAGTTTTATTTAGCATCATACTTTAATATTATTATACAACATTGGTACTGCTGACTCAACTTTTATGTATTAAATTCTGCAATACCGATAATCAAATATATCGGGAAATTACACTGAAGTTTCCTGAGGATGTAATGTAAATGAGAATGACTGGCCTGGGGAACATCTAGACCTGTCAGGCCCTGGCTAATCTCTCTGTTTCTTTCTTGAGACAGGGTCACTTTTTGTAGTCCTAACTGGTCTGGAACGTCTATGTAGACCAGGTTAGCCCCTGCCTTCTCAGTGCTGGGATTAAAGTATGTGCTACCACTTCTGACCTACCAATACTTCTTTCCCCTTTTCTTTTCTTCTCTTTTTTTTCTCTTTCCTTTTTTAAAGACAAGGTCTCACTGTACAACTCTGGCTGTTCTGTAACTTACTTTGTAGACCAGGATGACCTTGAACTCAGAGATTCACCTGCCTCTGCCTCCTGAGTCCTGGGATTAAAGGTGTGTACCACCAAGTCCATCTTGAGAAAATTCTATGTTAAACAGCTATGTTTAAAAAACAAATCATTTTGGGTGTGTGTCACAGTGCACACATGGAGGTCAGAGGACAACAGTTCCGTTCATCTACCATGTGGGGGGTTCCAGAGACTGAGATCAGGAAGGTCGTCAGGAAAGTTCTCAACAGTTACTGTAAGGTACAGACTGTAGTAAATTGAGGAGGAAATAGTAACAGAATTAGTATAAAACAAACAAACAAAAACCCCAAATTTTATAGAAGAGTGTACTTGTTTCTTTACATTTATTTATGATTATAATTAGTGGGTGTGGCCAGTGCCATGGTGTGTCTGTGGAGGTCAAAGAACAACTGTGTGGAGTTGGTTCCCTGCTTTCACTGTGGGTTCTGGGGATCAAACTTGGGTTATCACACTTACAGAGCAAATGCCATTGCACTGGCCCGTGTTTTAATATGTCTATCCTATATTGGCTCCTTCAAATGTCTGGCATATTCACAATGATGCTACTGTTTTGTCATTTTAAGTACTATACTAAATGTAAATGCTTAGTCAGATCTGACCATTTAAAAATTTGCTTTGCAGGACTGGAGAGATGGCTCAGTGGTTAAGAGCAGCGAGGATGCAGGTTTGATTCCCACATGATGTCTCATCACCATCTCTAAGTCTGTCTCCAGGGATCCAACACCCTCTTCTGGCCTCCCATGGCTCCACATGCCCATAGTGCACAGACGTACATGTAGGCAAAGCATCAATACACATAAAATCATTACAAAGAATTGTTTTACATTTTCCTTGTGGGAAGGTACTGTGGAGGTCAGAGGACAACTTGTCCACGTTGATTCTTTCCTTCTACCATGTGTTCTGGGGGAATCAAACTCAGGTTGTCAGACTTGGTGGCAAGCATCTTTACCCTCTGAGCCATCTCACTGGCCCTCAGGTCCTCAAATATGCTGATCACTCCAGTGGAAGAGCATTTTGGCTGAGGGATTGACCTACCCAAAGAAAGGTCTGTCCAGGTCCTGAGGGGCAACTCCTATACATCTGTATTATCCTATATCTTAAAGAGGTGACTTATTATGTGGGGACCTAGGGCTATGCATTATTCCATGCTGACAATGTGATTTACGGTGCGTTCATTGGATTAGGAGGCATCCTTGACCTCTGGAGAAGCTGGAGTCTAAGGTCAGCCAACCTGATGTAACTTATCTCTAGTAAAACCCTGGACACAAATACTTGAGTAAGCTGCTCTGGTTGACAACAAGTAACGTGCTGCCTGCCATACACTTGGAAACCCAAGTATGGAACTCTCCTCAAACTTTTGCCCCATGTGCTTTTTCTGTTTGGTTTTAATCTGTATGTGTTACTATAGTAGTAAAATGTAACTAGATAGAAAACATCTTTGTTGAGTTCTTTTGAATCTTTTCAATCAACTATTGTATCTAAAAGTGGTCTTGTGAACCTTCAGAACTACCTGAGAAGAAACAGTAAAAGACAATTTAGTAAACATTTCTAGGGCAGGGTCAGCAAAATAGCTCAGCAGGTAAAGGAACTTGCTGCTGAACCTGCTGACCTGAGTTTGATCCCTGGGGCCAAGAGGGTGGAAGGAGAGAACTGCCCCACTGTGCTCCTCCACACGCTCTGTGGCACGTGTGCTCATACCATACACAAACACACAAGTAAATAAATGTAATACTTAAAAAATTTTTCTAGGACAAATATATGAAGTCTCAGGCATATATGTATGTATATTCCAAACAATATATTAAACAGAAAGGGCTGAGATGACAAACAGGTATAATCTAATATGCTATTTACTGAAAAATTACTATGCACAGCTATGTTACAGCAGATAGAAAAACCAACATTGCAATTCTTAAAAAGGTGTTAATCTTTCTAATTTTTGAAATTTATCATTTAAAAGTTACTTCCATATGCCATTAAAATATTCCAAACAGCTTCATAAATGTTTCCATATTTTGTTATAATTTAGTAAGTTTCACTCATGGATTAAAGTATAAATTAAGAGCAGAATAGCAAGTATTTACTGAAAATATATGAAAGGTTAACAATTCAGATAATTTTTAGTTCTTAAATTCTAATATACAGAGTTTTAATATGCTAAAAATACAGTTAGATTTTAAAAGAATACACAGAGAGAAACAAAATAAAATTTGCAGATTTAAAGACAGGAAAAACAGAAGGGCAAAACGACAGTGTAACAATTTCAATTTTACTCCATGTACACTTTGCATGAATACATGAAACACTCTATACTGGATTTTTGTATATCAGAGTTCTGCTATTTAATAATGTATATTAATAATGCTCAGTAACAAATATCATGTAAAAGAAACTGTCCATTTCCAGCTAAAAAATTTGCTGACTCATGTCAGGGCTACATGTCAGAGGGAATAGCAAGATTCACTTAAATTTTTCTTTGTGTTTTTAAGATAGGGCCTCATGTATTCTACGCTAACCTCAAATTCATTCATATAATATATACACACACGTATAAATCTATCTATCTATCTACACACACACACATCTGTATGTATATCCGTATATCTATCTACCTAATCTAATCTAATCTGGCTACACGCGCGCGCACGCGCACACACACACACACACACACACACACACACACACACACACACACACACACACTCACTCACTCACTCACCCTCCCTCCCTGTGATGACCACAAACTTTTGATCCTTTCGTTTTCACCTTCTAAAAGCTGGGAAAATGGGTTTGCGTTAATATGCCTGGCTACAATTTCTTGAAGTATGTGGCACAAATTAAAAACAGCCATATAAGAGCCAGGTGGTGGTGGCACATGTCTTTAATCTCAGCACTTGGGAGGCAGAGGCAGGCAAATCTCTGTGAGTTTGAGGCCAGCCTGGTCTACAGAGTGAGATCCAGGACAGCTAGGACTGTTACACAGAGAAACCCTGTCTTGAAAAAAATTAATTTAAAAAAAAAAAAAACAAAAAAAACCCCCAAATCAAACAAACCCAAAAAACAGAAAAGAAAACAACAACAACAAAAACAAAAACAAACCCTGCCCCCCAAAAAAACAAAAGCCACACAAAAATGATTATGGTCAGGTTTACAAAAAAAATTATAAAATTTTAAGAATCACCAGAAGGACCTGGGTATGGTAGCTCATGCAGTTTGAGGCCGGCCTGGCGGTTGAGTGAGACGTGTTAACAAACAGAATCACAGAGAAAAGCTCAAGTAAGTGAGACCGATAATAGCCAAATAATAAAATCAACCTATTAGAAATAAAGACCTGAACTAGGTAATCATTGAAATGGACCTGTCATTAAAAACAAAAAAGAAACAATCAATTTAAAATTCCAATTACTACGTATCACAGCTAAAAAAAAAGCCTAAGAAGAGAAGACATGAGAAGTCATGAGTGGTGCAATGTGGCATCATAGGAAAAGAAAGTGGACATTAAGAAACAGCTGCATGAGTTTTAGTTAATAACAATATTTAACACTAGTTTATTAACTGCAACTAATACTCTATATTAACAGGAGATGGTAATCTCGCTGCATTATGTGCAGCTGAGTGCAGGGGTTGTCTGGGAGGGAGTTTTACAGTTACTCTACATTACTGAGCACATTCCTCATGCCCCAATCTCTGTTCTGAGACACGGCCTCATATGGCTTAGGCTGGCCTCAAACTTACTATGAAGTGAGGATGATCTTAGACTCCTGATCCTCTTGCTTTTACCTCCTGATTGTTGGGATTACAGGTGCTCACCACCCATGCTAGGATTACCACGCTGGGGCTGGACCCAAGGCCTCCTGTGTGTTAGGGAAGCACTCTCTAACAACTGAGTTACATTCACATAAAAAAAAAAAAAAAAACCTTAAAAATTATGATAATGGCCGGGCGGTGGTGGCGCACGCCTTTAGTCCCAGCACTCGGGAGGCAGAGCCAGGCGGATCTCTGTGAGTTCGAGGCCAGCCTGGGCTACCA